CACCGCGAGAGGTTTGGAGGGTCCATAGCGTACAGCCGAAACTGTAGCTACGGACCCTCCAACAAACTTAACTAAAAACTTGAACACATTCCTCAGAAAAATATGCGTTCAAATCACATTATTGTAAACTAAATGGCCGATTGGGAACGATTTTTATTTTTTTTTATCTAAAAATTGATTTGGTATACATTAAATTTTATAAAAAATATAAGGATTTATTTATAAAGTTAAGAGGAAAATGTGGAAAACGCTATCTAGGCATGTGAAATCTAGACTACAATTTTTCATTTGGAATAGCGCTACCTGTGCAAGAATGTGGGCATTAACTGAGCCTTTTGGCGGGAAAAATATATTATGGACCTAACGACCACAGACCACCTTAAGCTGACTATAAACAGTACTTCAGCTTTATCCAGCGAGAACGGCCTGTATCAAGCTTTTACCTACTTGTAGGCAAGTTCGATACTTTCAGTATCCGGTCGTCTTTCAGGTAGCTGACACAACTTCGGCAAGCCAGGTATCACTATTTGTCAGGGCTCTGAAGGAGGTCTCATAAATTTCAACTGCCCCACCCAAATACTTTTTTTTATATAACAGGTCGCAAACGAGCAGAAAGCTCACCTGATGTTAAGTTATAGTGCCCATGGACCCTCATATTGTCAGGCTCGCTTTCAGGCTATTTAAGAATTGGTACTAAACATAATTATTTATGTAGTTTACTTACTATCATCTCCAAATCACGCCATTTCTGTCTACACTGTGCCACTCTGCTATGCTGTTTCCTTTACCTGGTCTATCCACCATTTAAATTGTCTTCCTCATTTGCGTTTCTTGTACCTTGGGCACCAGATCTTATACTATAATAATAAAAGTTAAAGGGAAAATGGGCCGGTCACATTGCCCGCATTTGTGATGGCATGGTTGGAATGGCCCAATGGGAAGAAAAGAGAGAGGATGCCCATAATGGATTTAAAGGGATATGTAAACATTTAGGTTCTAATAGAAGGTATAGCTTTGAGAAACTCACAAAGGTTATAATAGAAGATTTTGCTCAACAGAAATCCCGAAAGAAACCGTTATCGTAATCGTAACCAAAAAAACAGCAGCATTCTAACATAATAAATGGTCATACTTAGGAAATAATGTTATTATAATTCGCACTTTTCACTTTCCACAACTTCTAGTGTGCCCCAGTCTAGTTTAAGACGGCCCTGTATGTACTCAGGGCTTATTATTTTATATAAAATTGTGTATACTACTAACAGCCACCGAACCGTAGAATAATATCAGAAATAATATATTAGGTCCTTACATATGAAATTGACGTTTAGTCATACTGGCGCCTTCGACCTCAAGTATCTCCACTTTGGTTGTGGTCTCCTCCAACAGATTACCATTTTTTTCTTAAGGACTATAAAACTGCATTATAACATAAAACTATTACGGGTCCCCATTGTAAGGTGGGGTGACGTGCGCCATCACTTCCTTTTATACTTGACTAGCGAAAGGTCATATAAAGAAATTAAACAAGTTTATACAAGAAGTCTAAAGGTTTCATTTACCGGCCCAGTCATTCCCTAAAGAATGGACATGATGGCCCATGAAGGGAACAAAGAAGAAATAGAATATTAATCAAGAATGAATCAATCGAGCAGTAGTACAGCTAAAGTGCCACATCGAGAGATTTAACCAAAAGTTAAGTGTTCCTTGTCCTTTTCTTTTTGGGTTCCGAACTGTGTCCTTAATTTAATCAGTTGTGCAAATAAGTATTTTAGTTTTAATCCTTTTTAAAGTAGTGGGATTAAGTAATTGGTTAAAATTGTAATTTTTCATAGCACGTACCTACATCTACGGACCTGCATATAGGAAAAAAATTGTGTTATTTTTATTGTTGTTTTTATCTTTTGATTTCGTTATATAACATTTAATTAGATACCAAAGACACGGAGATATACTATATTATTTTTTTATATTTTCGCTGCTCTAACAGCTCCAAATGACCCCAAGTTAAGAAGAAAACGAGAACGAAACCCTGCTGCCCGGAAATCAAAGATAAGATTTACCTGTATTGCGCAATTTTTGACATATTAAACCACACAAAAAAAAATCGCAGAACGTTGAATCCGTCCATCTTGTGGGGATAAATGTAAGTTAAAATGCAAAACTAAAATATACGAAGTGGCAAGGCAGGATATTTAAAAAAAAATTGGCTTCTCGGAGATCTAGAGAGGCAAAGAGAATACATTGCCAGGCATACGCAAATATGCTAAGAGTTAATTCCATAACACATAAATTTTTGACCCGCGGACATTCTCAAAATGAAAGGGGGAAAGTCCACAGTATAATAGAAAAACAGATTAAAAGACACTTCAAATCTGGTCCTATTTATTGCCCACAGCAATATGCTACTTTATTTTGTACTGCGAAGAAAACAGGAAAGCCGTATCATGTAAAAGAACTTTTACACAATCAACAATGACTTTTATGACCTTAAAGTCCTTCAGGAATCTTGGGGCAATAATTTTAATGTGGATCGATCAAGGCGCTACAAAGATCAAAACTTTTCTCCACAATTGCTTAAAGCATATACCGACAAACAACCTCTGGCTTAAAACAAAAAGAGAAATATAATGGAATTAATTGAAAAAAATATTATTTCCACTAATTATGTCCACTCTTATTACAAGACAGCATTGAATTTAGAATAGCACAGAACTTACAGGAAACGTAATTTTGATATCTAAATGCCCTGTTATTATTTAATTTTTTATAGTAAGTTTAAGGCAGGCAATAGATAATTATGTAAGTAAACCTGTGATGTTACACTGATGTGATATAAATAAGACTTGTTAAACTAAAAAGACTGGTTAAAGTAAGTAGTAGGTATGCTCTTAGAGTTCTTTGTACATAGGTACAAATATATATATATCGACGTAGGAAAGCATATTTGCTGTAAGTAGACAAAATACCTAAAGTGACTTTTTACTGCCATTAGAATCAGAAAAAAAAACCGCATCGAATGACCCGGGTCCTGTGTCTCTACGATGAAAAAAAAATTAAATACGCCGTTGAAAACGCCCGTACTTTTATTTTTTTTAGCAAGATTAAATGCTGTATGTAGACTAAAATCTAGTCATTTTAGTCATTTTGTACTTACAGCAAAAGAAAGACTGCATTTTTTGCTTCACAAATACTTACTTCTTCCCATTTAAAAACTTAACGCTACTTACAGCAATTCTGCGGCGTGTGATTTTTACATTCGTTTACTTACAGCAAGTTAAGGGAACCTACAGTTTTAGTTTTTGCTATTTACAGCAAATCAACACGTATTTGCTTTAAAAGCTCACACCGCATAATGCATTTTAAAAACCTGTGATTTTTTAGAAATTTGAGATAATGCATTTTGATAAATCATTTATTATTTCATTTTACCGTTACGCTATTGAAAAAATGATAGTTCTTTGAAGTTGTGTCGGTGTTACCGCATCGCTACCGGCTCCGCCCGCACCCTTCATTCCTTGTACGACATTCTATTATGGGGTTAAATATAATGATCACCATAAAATGCTTTGATACCCTTAGTTCTTTTACCAAAAATATATACTTAACACCAGATAAATAACGTCTAAAATTACAATAGTACTAGCTATTTTAGTCACGACTGCACTTCAAATTGTATTCGAACACCAAATGTAGTAAATGATCACCAAATCTTAGCGAGCAAATTAATGCGCTATTTCTGCCTAAATAAACCACTATGATTGACATAAAATGTAGGCTTATTACCAAATGAAGCATTATGATGCCATATTAAGTTATGTCTGCGGCTTACGATCCTCTCCCACCACACCGCAAGCGCCGCGCACGCCCGGACACGATCGCCAATTTAGTCGCGTGCGAGCACTTGCTTTTATTGGGTGTGTTTTGGTATCTATCTTCTTTGCAATGGCGAATGAAAACTTAGCGGGACCGAGTTCGTGTGCTCCGCTGTTGAGTACTTCATCGGAATCAGATGAAGACGAATAATTATTCGGCAAAAATAACAAAATATTTTTTTTTGCCGAGGGTAATTTACTTTAATCGGATAACGAGATTTTATTTTTTTTGCATTTCATTTTAAATTAAAATATGGTTAATAATTTGGTTTTCATTAACTATTTTTGGGCTAACAATGAGTTTTTTGGAGCCAGTTTGCTTAAATAGGATAGCAAGATGTAAAAACTTTGGTTATAATTTTACATTAAAATGCTGTTTTAATTTTGGCGATCATTTACTACTTTTGGGTTAACAATGATTTATTTGGAGTCATTTTGCTTAAATAGGATAGCGAGATGTTAAAACTTAGGTTGTAATTTTACATTAAAATGCGGGTTTAATTTTGGTAATCATTTACTATTTTTGTCTGTTATATGTTACTATACCTGGTGGTAAGTTAAACATAAGCCTTCTATTATTGCCTCATTATAAGCAGGGCATTTGATTTGAAACGTCGTGAGTGTCCGAAATAAATTGTGTGGTTTAGATTGAACCTGAGTATTTTATCACGTAAAAGTAAGTAAATTTTCCGAATGATTACTATTAAGTGTCGATAAGTATTTACGTATTGTATATTAATCGAAACTATCTAATACAAGCAAAGATATTTGTAATCTGCCATAATTAGGTTTAAGCATTTTTTCTAGTTAGTTTCAAAGTATAAAAATGATCAATTTACTTGTTTTTTATGAATATCGTCACACCTGTAATCCCTGACGGAGTAGGCACGAATTAAATCTCCAATGTGACTGGTGGCGAACCAACCAATATACTACGAGCACAAACCCGGTTACGAGCTGCAATTGAGGAAGTTTCACAACAGTAAAACCACATATTACACCTTGCCATAGCCGTGAATCGAACCCGAAACCTCATGACAATCCTATCAGCAATTACAATCACTAGGCCAACGAGGGTAACAAGATATTCTTTTTATTTTTTATAAACTGCCTTGCTTATTTTAGATGGCGAAACGCAGGGAATGGATGGACGAATTAAGACCTCTTCAAGAAGACATTGTTGAAGAGCATTCAAGAAAGAAACCTAAAATACAAATATTAAGCAACCAACTATACCTACAAGGCAATTTTATTCCTTCAATATTGAACAACACAAAAATAAAATCACAGACCGATGAATCTAATAATTTTTCGCAAAATAATGACAAAACGACACCACGACATACAAGGAATTTGGAAGAGGACAGGCCTAGTAGCAAAGAATTGACTCCAACTTTTCGAAACCCAGAAAAGTACATGACTGCAACCGACCACATACTAAGACAAATTTTACCGCCACCGCTTCAAGCTTCGGGCTTGACGGAAATCCCAACAGACTTTCATAAAGATTGCGAAATGACCCACGAAACATGTATTACAAAACATGCTAAATTAGATTTTACTGTAACCATTGAGAATGAAGATGTTTTAGATAAAAGTATTCCACAAGTAACAGCTTGTAAAGCCTACTTTCCAGTTGAGAATGATGGTAAGCAAATCAATACCCAATGTCTCTATTCTATCCCAGAATTAGGTGGTGGTGTTGAGAGCAATATGGAACAGCCTCAAAGTAAATCACCAGCTACTGAGAAGAGAGCTATGATCGAAAGCAACGTAAAATTGATGGACCCTGAAAGTCAACCCTCCGGTCTTAGAGCATGTGCAGCAATAGAGAGCCACGTGCAAACGCAACTTCAATGTCCATCTCCAGTTCTTGATACAAGTGCTGCTACTCAAAGTAACGTGCTACTGTTTCGGGGTCCATCTCTAGTACCTTCAACGAGTTTTGCGACTGAGGGCGACGTACTGGTTCCTGGCACAAGAACTGCTACAAATGGCGTTGTGCAGATACAATTTATTTCTGAAAACAGTTCTGCAATTGAGAGCAATACAGTGCCAATAGGATCTCCAAGTCTATCAATATTCCCTAGAACGAGTGACAGCGACGTGGTGCAGATACAGTTTCGAAGTAGTTTACCATCCCCTGAAACAAACAAAATACAGATAATAGAGGACAGAGGAACCAGAAGGACAAATCCTGAAAGATGCAAGAAAAAACTAAATTTCAATAAATGTTATCTTGATTATGTGGACGATGCGGATACATTATTGTTAAATGAAGCTTTTCCATCAGATGACTCAACAGATTGGACTGAAGTGGAAGAGTCATCTGACGAGATGGAAGATGGAGATCAACACACTAAAACTGCAAAAAGAAATAAGAACAAGCAAGGCAAACATAAAGACAAAATAAAAACAAAGACTAATCATAGGCACTTAAATATAGAAAAAAATAAAACAAAAGCAATGATTAAAAAAGAAAATAAAGAAGAAAAGAAAAAAGGGAAACAATATTTAACTAGAAAAGGAAGACCTATTGAGGAAAAAAATATGAAACCAAACCCATGTACTGGCAAAAAATGTAGAAATAACTGTGAAAACATAACCGAAGAACGGCGTACAAATTTATTTAACTATTTTTGGAATCTTAAGTGTACGCAAAGGCGCAAAGATTGGATTGCTCAATGCTGTCATAAAAAAAGTGTAAAGAACCACACGTCACAAAATAGTGGAGTATCTAGGCGAAACATCACACATGAATATTTTATTAATGAAGGAGAAGGAAGGAGAAAGGTCTGCCAACAATTTCTGATCGCGACTCTCGATGTGACGCAGAGATTTATTTTGTATACACTGCAAAATTCAATAGATAATTTTTCCAAACTTGACGAAAGAGGGAAAAACGGTGGTCATAATAAAACATCAACGGATGTCATCGCCAAAGCCAAGTCTTTTGTTATGTCTCTGCCATTAATGCCTTCTCATTATTGTCGCAAAGATTCCACACGACTTTACCTGCCAGAAAATTTTAAAAATATTACTAACTTGTACAACATTTACAAAGAGCACTGCAACGATGAAAATGTAAAACTTATGTCTTTTAAAGTTTTTTCCAAATGGTTTCGTAGTACTTTCAATATTGGCTTCCATGTCCCAAAAAAGGATAAATGTGTTCAGTGTATGGCCACAAAAACCTTCGAGGTGAAAACTGAAGAGGAAATGAACAAGTTAGACGAGCACATAAAAGAGAAAGAAGAATCATACAAACGATTTTTATGTCATCAGGATCTTAACAAGGCAGACAAAAGTGTTATCTGTGCCAGCTTTGACATGCAGAAAGTGCTTAATACTCCACACGGTGACAACATGGCCCTTTATTATAGCCGAAAAATATCTGTGTATAATTTCACAATTTATGAAAGTAACACGCAGGTAGGGCTCTGTAATATATGGAATGAAAATGATGCCCATCGTGGAGCAAATGAGATTTCGTCATGTTTACTAAATTATATAATGGAAGTTGATTCTCAAACTAAAATTAAGACTTTATTATTGTATTCCGATTCCTGCTACGGACAAAACAAAAATAAGACCGTTTTATCTATGTTTCGCTTTGCATTATCTAGGTGTGTTAATCTTGAAGTTATTCAGATGAACTACTTGATCCCTGGCCATACATAATATATGCCTGTAGATAGCATGCATTCTGTGATAGAACGAGCAGTGAAGAAAACAATAGTATGGGCTCCATCTCAATGGCCTACTATTGTAGAAATAGCCAGGAAGAACCCCTTTCCTTACAAAGTAACCAAACTTGAAGGAACAAATTTTATGGGATTTGAAGAAATAACAAATAATACTTTTAAGAAAAACCAAAGAATTAATATTTCAAAGATGCATGTGGTTACATTTAAAAGGTGTAAACCAAATGTGATGTATGTGAAAAATTCAATGTTGCCACAAACTGAAACAATTGAAGTTCAATTGAGCGGACTCAATAGTGCAAAGCCGAAAACAAATTTATATTCGACTAAGTTACCAATATCCCAACAAAAATATAATGACTTAAAAAAATTAGTGGAGAAAAAAGTGATTCCAAATATGTACGCCAAAGAATATTTAAATTGTACAGCTGTAAAACAAATGACTGTTTACCTGAAACCGATGAAGACGACTGAAAAAAAAAGTGATAATTCGCGATAGCATAACTTTTGTTTATTTCTTTTCCTTAAATAATATGTTTTTGATTGCACACAATGTCTTCATGTTAAGTTTCAATTATAATTGTATTTTGTTACATCTTTCGTTCTAAAATAAGGCAAATTGCTACTAAGTTTCTGTGTCTTACTTTTAAATAAATATTTTTTGATTGGATACAATTATTTACATCTTGGTTTTTTTATTTAGTTTTTGTTTACATCTTGCGTTTTATTTCAACCAAACGTTACATTACCAACTGACCCACTACATTTCTAGATCTAATCATAATTATAAATTTAAATATACATCTTGAATTGCAGTACCCAAATAAATAAATTTACTGAATACAGCATATTTACCGCCTGTAAATTGATAATATTTCCGATTTAGATTTTGAGTTTGAGTTTAGACAAACACGTACTTATAGTAACTTTGGATAAAAAGTTTACATTGCAAATGGTGACTGGCAGTTAAATAAACCTATGTTCCAAAAATGGTAGCAATATCATGGATAGGTCAGACACTATTAATTTTTTTCCGAAATTAATAAAGTTTTTTGGCTCTGGTGAACAATTGCAATATGTCTACTTACAGCAAATATGCTTTCTTACGTCGATATATTCTATGGTCCTATTAGGCTAACTTTTTTATTGAAATAATGTCTAGTCCAGTTTTTGGATTCTTTTATGTGGGTGCTAACACACTATCGCAGCCATGTTCACGAGTGTTAGCAAAGTACCTACCACTTAAAATAAGAAATAAGTAAGTAGAAAGTTAAAGTTTGTGCCTCGTTTTACCGCTTTTGAATATTTGTTTATTTTTTGTTTTAAGATTGTGTTTTTTTTGCTTTGATCTATGGGTAAAACATGTAAGACTGTTTTGTTCATAACATAGCTGATGACACTGTAACAGTGTATAATAAAAGTGCATGCTGATTTTCATAGACTTCGTTGTTTTATTTACCGTTTTATGGACGACCAATATATGATAGGATTACAATGCATTATTTCAGAATCAATCAGTAAGAACCGAGTAAATAGAAATATTTTTTATTATATTGTTTCAATAGTTTAACAACAGTGAATTAACTTGAAAAGTAAGGATTTAACACTTTCTGTGAACTTTTTACAGTAATTATCTAATGCCATACTGATAAGCATTTGATTCATCACACAATGTCAAAAAAACCTAGTAATAACTTTTCATCTAACATGAGACAACAATTTTTAGTCGATACTCAAATAAGTTCTGTTTTGACTTAGTACAGTGTTGATCTGGGGTTGCGATTTATGTATATTTTTTTGGAGTAGAACTTCTTTAGCCGCGACTAGGGAGTAGTCTGTGTAGTTTCCGCTATTTAAAAATAACAACGATAGCGGCATTTATAAGTCCGTCAGCGCCATCTAGTGGTGCATTTGAACTGATTTAAGTCAGTTTCTTGGTAGTGTTTATTTAGGATAACATTCACTCGTTTTATTTGATACTGATTCTTGTAATTATGTTATTATTAGTGTATTTATATTTAAAATGAAAATCCATACTAGTAACATGTGACCAAATTAAAATTCCACTAAAGAGGGAAGGTTTCCATTGCACTAAAGAGGGAAGGTTCCCATCCTAGCTTGCTTTTCTTTTGTTATACATACGGCCAGTTTTTTAGCTGAATTTCGTATTTTACCATTTTGGAAGAAGTAAATTAATACCAAATTAATTATCCTAAAAATCTGGACTATTTTATATAAAAATTGCAAAGTTGTATAAGAGAATAGCAAAGTTAATTTAAAAAAATTCAACAGTTTTAAAAAAAATGTTTTAAATGGCAAAGTTTTTTAAAAATCTCTAAATATTCTTATTGATTTATTACTTTTAAAATAAGTAAATTAATAATAAATTTTCTGACGATTGCGATATTCTATAATATTCAATAACAAGGTTATATTGACATGTGCTGATCAAACCTTCGTATTTGAATAATCTTTGTAAAGCACATGAATAATAAATAAATATAATTAAATTATAATATTATATTTATTATTTAAATTATAAAGGAGTACAAATAAGTTCCCGCCGTTTTAATGTAGATGGTGCGGCACGGAGTGTCCGTTAGCTTTCGCAGATGATAACCGGTTTAAAAGATAGTTTGGACATTCAAGAACAACATAACCTATTAATATTATTGATTTCATATTGGTTAAATATAATTTTTATTAGTTGAAAATGTCGAAAGTTTACTTCTTTAATTTAAAGAAATCTGCTGCTGAGGCGCATAGATTGCTCGTAGAAGCATATGGTGAGGGTGCTTTGAGTGAGAGAACGTGTCGTGAGTGGTTAAAAACGGTGAAAAAATTTACGAGGATGCAGAGTTGGAGGAATTATTGGAGGAAGATTCATCTCAAACACAAAAAAGAACTTGCTCTAACATTAGAACTCACTCAGCAAGCAGTCTCACTGCTCACATCGTTTATAATCATTAGGAATGATTCATAAACAAGGAACTTGGGTTCCGTACAAATTAAAGCCGAGAGATATTGAACACCGATAGTGTTACCCCACCCGCTGTATTCACCAGACATTGCACCGTCTGATTATCACCTGTTCCGGTCCATGGCACATGCTCTGTCGGCGCAGCGGTTCACATCTTATGAGAATACCGAAAATTGGGTTAATTCGTGGATAGCCTCAAAAGACAAGGAGTTCTTCAGACGTGCGATTCGAATGCTGCCTAAGAGATGGGAAAAAGTGGTTGCAAGTGATGGGAAATATTTTAAATAAATTTATATTACCGTTCTTCTATAATAAATATTTAATTTTTGATAAAAAACGGCGGAAACTTATTTGTACTCCTAATAATATTTAATCATTTCAGTGATATATGCCGTCAACGCCAAAGAAGTTTTACTTCAATCGCGCGTAAAGATTACAGTAAAGAAACAGGAGCGTAGTTGGTTTTTCCGATTGTAAAGACGCCAATAATTTTCTTAACTGCAATCTTTTGGAAACAAAAAAGTTAGAAGCCTTCATTGCTACTTTTAGCGAACCAAGAATGGGTCTAGTACGCTGGGTCCCTGTAGATTGGAGTGAAGAGGAAGTTCAACAAAATGTATCCGTACCTACTGCCTGCGACGAAATACTTTAAATAAGACGTTTGAATAGCAAGGTGAAAATTAATAACTTGGTTTCTTGGAAACCCTCTGAGTCAGATGTAATAACATTTGATGGGCAAGTTTTACTAATAAGGATTTTCATATGCTATAATGCTCATCCAGTAGAGATATATATTTAATATCGTAATTTATAGGTGCCATTATCGTTGGTTGCGCCGGATTCTCATTTTATATTAATGGTTGCTCAATATACCCATCCTAATTGTTCCTAGGCGCATATCTCATCACCCGCCTATAATATGTCCAATCCTATGGAGGTACTAGTTCCGGAACGGGCTGAAGGTGGCGCGCAAGACGATGAGTCCAAATTAAAGAAAATGATTAAGCGGCCGTTTGTTGCATTATTGATGAGCCGCGGTATGGTTTTCGTTTTGTACGCCGCACGATCGCACCGCTTTCTTTAAAACTTTTAACTTTTGCATTTGCTGTTTATTGTTAACAATTATAAATAGTGCCCATAGACCTTCAATGAAGAAGGAAATAGACTTCTGTGAAGTGTTTAGTTAACTTCTTTCTACCAATTATTTTTCCAATTATTGAGCTATCATAAAATATAAAATAAAATACAGTCCAGTCCAGTATTTTATGAAAATTAACATTAGATAATCCAATAGGTATAAAGTTATATTAACATACCGTGCCGCCAGATAGTCTGGGCCTTCACAGATTTCTAATCGAAATCCGGCCCGTAGCAGGCGTAGGCCCGTATTAGGCGTAGGCCCGTAGCTGGCGAAGGGCCGTAGCAGGCGCCGGCACATTTTAACAGATCCGGATGTTCCAATCACCCTCAACGACAGATTAGAAGCCGCCCGAGCGAAATAAAAACCAGATTAGAGACAAAACCGTCTTCGCCGGGGAAGGCGTTTACGTCCAGCCTTTAGGCGATTGACCACCGCACGACGGCCCAAGCTCGCAGAAGACGCCCTTTGGCTAGTCACGGGAAAGTGCCTTTCTAGTCTAGCATCGCTCGCCAAAACAGCCCGAGCTTTGCTGTCCTATACATTATAAGCCCTTAGCAATTGCCCCTTATAGGCTGAATAAAAGACTGGCAACCCTAGTCATAAGAGATATGTGAATGAGAGAAGGGTTCAGGCGATCCTGAATGAGGTACGTATATACCGATGGCTTAAAAACAGGGTGTGGCTCAGGTGCTGCAGGCATATTCTCTCTTGATCTCAACATCAACATACACCTATCCCTAGGCAAACACAGCTCGATTTTTCATATATTAGTTCGTATCCGACAGTGCATCTGTGCTGATGGCGCTTGTAAATAAAAAGACAAACATCAAACTGTTGCTGGAGTGTCAAGAAGCACTGGAGGCAATAACAAACAGTGTTACCCTACAGTGGATAGGCCCTTCCTCTTGTCAGCAAAAGTAAGCAATTACTTTGCCAAATTAGTTTCACTTCTGACATGTGTACTTTGTACGCACGCACTATTTTATGAATAAAGACAGTTGTCACCTTGGCCTAGCGGCTAGCTTCAAATAAACTGTTTCATTTAGACATTTATTTATTTGAACATCCCTTCAACAGTCGCCAGTCGCCACCAAACTTCACTCGGTTTTATAAAGTGATAGTAATCACTAATCATTATAACTGATTAAATCGCATCGCGAATAGATCAGCCCAAAAATTTATTGAATAGAGTGTATATTGTAGTATATTCCTTATTTGATAATAGTTTTGTTATATCTTTTAGCGACGATATCTTGTAAGCGCGTTTCACATTACATGTGGCGACATCTCTGGTCAGAGGTGGATACTGTTATGAACAGCGGTGCCACGATTATTGTTATTATTATTATAGCCTCTTTATTTCCATATTGAATAATATTATATTAAAAGAATCAAAATCATTTTTATAAATAATTATGGACCTTTCTACTAGTAAAGGCCTCCTCCATTTTGCTCCACATCTGTCTGTATTTTGCTTGAACCAGTTTTCACCAGTTATCACCAGCTTTTCTTTTTGAAGTTATACTTCTTTAGGCGCGTTATGAAAAATTGATGAGAGTGAAATTTTACGATGCGCGCGCACCGTGACACAAAATTATCAGTGTGATTATAGTCGGCGCCGAGCGTGCGCGAGCGAGGTGGTAATAAGACAATCTTAAAGTAAAAAGAAATAGAATATGAAGTTAGCAGCTATGCCAAGAATTTTGAATGACCACAATGACATTTACCTTTTAAACAAATAAAGGAGTTTTAATTATTTTTTCAAAGAAATTTAGCAATGCTTTTTCATTAAGACCTATTGTTACTTAGTTAAATGTTATGAAACATACCTAATTACCTAGTTATTTTCATTACACAAGTGCGAATTTCATATGTGCGTCTGAATTATATTAAGAAGTGATTTAAATTGGATATTTAAATCAATACTAATTATTATTAGAAAATATTTGTGAAAAAACTGTGCTCATCAACCTTCCTAAGTGCTTCAATACAATTGAGGTTAACTATCCGTATGCATTATTATTATCGAGTATTTTTGTTGAGTAAAACTGAAACATGAACGGTTATTCATTGCTTTTGTTTATTGCGTTTGTTACAGCAACTTTTTAGAAATATTCTACGACCCTATATATCAATAATTGAGAACAAAGATTTAAGCACGAATACTAATAAGGAGAAAATGAAGGCTTGGAGCGATATAACAGAGAAGTAAACATTTTAATAAGTACCTGCATCTCAAAAAAATTACCACATTGTTTAATCAAAACTAAATTGAATACAAAAAAAGAGTTGTCATCTTATCGCCGTGAAACATCAAAAACTGTAGGTGGAACAAAGCCACCATGATTATAAAAATGATGTATGGTGATGTTCAAGGTTCAACCTCTCAAGCATAAGCATATGCTCACAACAGTACTTTATTCCCCTACTGGGTAGTCAGAGATATTCTAATACCTCAAAACATCCATGTTGCACTTGTAGTACCGAAACTCTGTCCAGCCAGAAGTTATAATACACCTTAACACCTGAGTGCGAACCACTCAACATGATACTTAAATTAATAGAAGTTTTTTTATATATTTCAGGATGATACAAATTAAATCATTTTGGAAACAATTGATATCCCAAAAGAAAATAAAGCCAACAATGACAAGGTAATAAATCAGTTTTGACATAACTTGAATACTAGAAAAGCCAGACAAAGGTGTGCACAACAGTGACAACATAACTTAACAATTTCATTATTTTGTAGGATTATAATACAAAGGTTAAAGAAAATCATGTCGAACTGAACAACAAGAATCCCCAAACAAGTCCAAAGAAACCTACAAGGAAGAAACCGGTATTATATTTAAATTATCTCTATCTCTAAATAAAACAAAGTTGCGATCCAGGTCTGTAGCAAGTGCAATTAGTTTTTCTAAACTACACAACGGATTTTGATCTGACTAATATATAGACTGTTCTTTCAGGAAGTATTTGTTTAATATGAATTATAATTTTTTTAAGTTTGGCATGGACAGAGCTAAAATTCATATTCTCTTATTTGTTGCAGAAATCAAGTAGTAGTTTTAGTTTTGGAGAAGCCTCGTTTCAAGATATGCATAGCTTTCGGGCTCTGGAAAATGAGCGGCTTCAAATAGAACACAAACATAGAGTTAAGAATATGGCAGAGATGCACAATTAAGTAATGATTAATTTAAAATTACAAACCGAAATTCTGATGAAGACATTAGAGTCACTTAAAAATAAATACTGTATAATGAAATAATTTTTTTTTAAAGATAAATAGTGTTTTATTTGTTTAAATAACTTAATTGTTAAAAAAACCTAAATTAAGAACTATCAAACTTAAAAGTTTTCATCAATAAAAATGGCTCTCACTGCTGCTCCACGCAGTGTATTTTGAGATGAGGGCACTGTTGGTAGTGAGGGCAGGGTCTCTTCATCAACATCAGAGATAGGTTCCTCTTTTGAATAATGGCTATATTGTGCAATACTGTTACAACATACATCTTAGTGTTTGGTAGAGATGTTCTAAATATATAATAATATATTCTTTTAACTTAATGGAATTTATGTTACACTTACTGTAAGAGAATAATAATAAATATTTATTTATTTAATTTTTCAAATGTAAACTGAACTTTATTGACTATAATGACTCCTTTTCCAGTCTTTGATTATTTAATTGTAATTAATTATTTGCATGCAATCAAAAACTATTTTTAATAACGCCAAAGAAGTATAACTTCTTACGCGTGTACATAAGTACAGGCACCCTTTTTTTAGTGTATAAGGTTCATAAAAATTAGAATGTTGTAACTTGTATCCCCGTTAATAATATTTATTATGTCACAGTTATATTTTTTTTTTATTATAATATACACCATTGTTTAATATTATTTAATCCAGTTGTGTTTCAAGATTTGCCTTGCTTGAGCGATAGCTCTGATGTCGTCGTACACATACATATATACTGCTCAAAACAATTAGCGGAACAAGATTTTTCTCCTTTCTATTGCTTAAACTAAAATTAGATTTAAATTAACTTGTACACTATTTTTTACCTTGTTAATTTTTTAATCACTACAATTAATAAAAAAATTCAATTTATATTTTTTTTATTAAAAAAAAATTAAAATGT